CACCCCTTCCTTAAAGAGTCTGTAGTCTGCTTGGACACAGACATGCAAACAGGGACGATGGGTAAGGCCATTCCTCTACAGCAGCCTGTACAAAGTGCCAGGGGGCCCCAAGGGAAGAAGACCCAAGAGAGGAGGGCACAGACTAGAGCTGATGGCTGAGGGAAGAATCAGATAGTCATTCCAGGCCAAAGTCATGTGCACGTGAGCATAGAGGTGCACGTTTAGAGAACTTCAGATAGTTCACCTGTGTCACTTGCCTGTAATCCCAGCACTGAGGCTCCTGAGAGTGGGGCAGGAGGATCATGAGTTTGAGGCCAGCCTGAGCTACATAGTGAGACTCTCGCTGGTGTGTAAAGTGTGTGGGGCTTAGGGGATTATCAGGCTTACTTGAGCAGCAGAGGCTAAGTTGGTGGACTGAATACTTACAAAGGGGTTTGGATTTGTAGTCTGAGCCACTGAAAACCACTGGAGAATTGTGAGGACAGCAATGAGATCCTTGTGTCATGTTTGAAAGATCATTCTGGTCATAGCAGTGCCAGCCAATATATATTTTGGCATTTGAACCTTTCTCCATCTTATTCTGGGGCAAATCTTCATGATACTGAAAACCTTTCTTTTTTTGGCAGCACTGGGATTCAAACTCAGGGCCTCCCACTTGCTAGGCAGGCACTCTGCCTCTGGAGCCACTCCCCCAGCCCTCATGACCTGAAAACTTTTAACGACAGCATTGGACATGAACCCACATCATAGGAAACTCAAACCTCATAGCCAGAGTGAAAGAGATTTAGTTTTACAGTTCTTCCCATTTCTTTCCACCCTACTCTTCACCCAGATACTTGCTTACAGAAAGGCTCTTCCTGCTCATTGTCACTGTATTTGTAAAGTTCGTGATTTGTCCCCCAAGTTTGAAGCTTTGGAACTGAACCAAGCCCAGAAGCAAGAGCAATGAATGGGATGGAGTTTTGCTTCTGGTTTTGGTTGCTGTTTGGCAGCATTTGGATGCTTCGAAGAATGACACGGGTGTCCTGGCCTTTCCATGGGATACTCAGGCTTACTTCATTAACCCTGCCTGTTTTGACCACAGGAGAATTTAACATCAGTGATAGTCATGATACCCTGGGAGGGGCTGAGGGACCCCTATGGCCCTCCACATGCTCAGGCCCCTGCCTGTCTGGAGGCTGGGGTTTAGGGCCTAACTGCACATTGGTTAAGGCCAACAATGGACTCCCTTGGTCTGTTGCCCTTAAGGCTGTTTTGAGGCCAATTTGTGACACACCTAGGCCTTCACATTGTGGGGAATACAAAATAAACCAGAGCCAAGCCTGACCTCAAGCAAACTCTTAGCCAGGTGGGAAGGCTTTTGGACATGCAGTAAGTGGCCCCAGCCAGACTAGATATAGTGTCCCAGTGCCCACTGAGGACTGCTGTGGGTAGTGACCCCAGCTGGTGTTGAGCAGGCTTCCAGGAGGAGGGACAGCTGAACTGGGTTGTAGAGGGGAAGGACTGTGGGTAAGAAAATTCCATGTAGTGAACAACTTGAGCAAAGAACTGAACAGAGGAGTGTCACTAATACATTGGGAAACTAAGAATAGTCCAGGGGGATTTTGAGCACAGCTTACCTGTGAGAGAGTAGGAAAATGACAGCAAAGATAGATCAGAGCAGGCTCACCTAGCATAGTGGTGCCCTGTAGTCCTAATAACACTCCAGGAGGCTGAGGCTGGAGGATCACAAGTTCAAGACCAGCCTGAGCTACCTAGTGATATCCTACCTCAAAAAAAGAAAAAGCAATGAAAAAAAAGTTTCAAGTCCCATTTCATGTTCAAATACCCCTCAACTTACTCTGGAAAGTAAGTGCACACAATTATAACATTGTAAAATAATATTTTATTTCACACAGGATATTTTTGCTTTAGAAAATACTCTGACATCTCTTTTTAAGTCCTGTTCACATCAAACAAACATACAAGTTTTATGTGGAGAGGAGTACTGGGGTAGTCTTTGGACACAGTGAGACATTATAGGACCCAATATTGCAGCAGTAGTTTTTTTTTGCACAAATTCAGGACCTTGCTCTTGCCAGGCAGGTGCTCCACCACTGGTGCTATGCGCTGAGCCCTTTTAGTTCTGGGCATTTTTCCCAGGTGGTCTGTTTTTGCAGCTGGGGGATTGTAGGGGGTGTACCTCAGTCTCCAGCATAACGGAGTCAGGGGTGCACCCTTCTATCTGGGTCTGGCAGGTTTAGGGTTGAGCATATGCTAACTGTGGGGCTCGAGGGGCAGAGCACTTGCCCAGCAGCTCAGGCCCAGTGTTCAATCCCCAGTACCACGAACAAGCCAAAAATAAAGTTAAGCTACTACATTGTGGATTCGTGGGGCACTCAGTACTTCAATATGGAACATGTGCACAGGCATCAAAAATACCACGGAGTCTCAGAAGCACTGGATTACAAGTGTTTTAAGGCTGCATTTTCAATTGGCATAGTCACCCAGAAAAGACTTTAAATAAGGCTTTTTAAAAAGTCTTCAGAGGTAATATTTTATGCTGGTTTTTTTTGTTTGTTTGTTTGTTTTTCTAAATAGTTTGTACTGTTTTTTAAGTTGAGATCACAATTTTTGGATAACTTGGTATAAGTGTTTATATTATTGTAACTGCACAAAAATTGTTCGCTGTTGAGCATATTATTACTATAACTTATATCTTCTCTTGAAGTAAACACATGCTTCGGGGAGGGGTGGAGAAGGGCCCTCACTTTTTAGCGGGTGATCGATCTCCAGTTGTGTCCAGCCCTGCTATTCTCCAAGCTCCCTGAACTCCTCTGGCACCCCTGTTCTGAGGGTCCCCAGCCCTGTCCCCCTCCCCTGTCTTGGTGGGGGGGACCCCCTAGTTTCCAGGGCCACTGCCTTCTGAAAGAGACAGAGAGAGAGAGAAGCAGCCCTGCAGAACTTCCTGGAAGGGCTCAGGGGGTCAAGTTTCTGAATCCTTCCGCATGCCGAGGCGGCTTTCTTGTTCACCTGCGTTTAGGTAATACGGAGTTATTTCATGGGCTGCCTGAGAGCATTTCCCCTCACATGCTGGAAGGCAGTGTTCTCGGAACTTATTCCCTCCCAGTTCTTTGTGAATGACTTTTTCTCTTCCCTGCCCTCCCTCCCTCCTTCATTTCTTCCTTCCTTTCTTTCTTAATGACTTTTCCTTTTCTTTTTTCTTTCTAGAATCTTGTAAATCTTTGCTTGGTATCTAAGATCCAAGCAAAGGGTCCTTGGTATTCTAAAAAATTGCAAAGATGTGTCTTGAGTAGCTGAATCTTTTTTCATCTATTGTGCTATGCAGGTATCAACTGGGCCTTTTCAATCTGAAACTCATGTTTTTCATTTCTTGAAATTTACTTATGCATCCAATAATTTCCTACCTTCTATTTTTTTCTGTACCCTTTTATTCCAAGTTAGACCTCTTAAGTTTCATATTCTCCCTGTACTTTCTTTTAATTTTTTCTCCTCTGCAAGATTTCCTTGACTTACCCTCCAGCCTTCTTTTGAATATATTTCATCTATTGCAATTTTTATTTTAAAATTTCTCTCATACTCTGTTGATTTTTTTTTTATTGGATGGTTGGTTTTTTGTTTTTGTTTTTTTTTGTTGGGGGGGTTGGGGGAGTTGTGAGACAGGGGCCTCACTATGTTGCCCAGACCCTCCTGCCTCAACCCCGGACTGCGGCGTGCACCACCATGCCCAGCTTCATATTTCTTATAGCGTATCATTTTATGGCACCAACCTCTCATCTCTGAGGATATTAGAGTTTGGAAGTTTTTACTTGTTTTTGTTTTCTTCTTCCCACATTGTCTCCGCTGCTTCTGTGTCCCTTAAGGTGACACATTGAAATACTGCTTGTCAGGGTGTGCAGGGACAGAGCCAGGTAACCTATAGGCCTTGGAGTTGGTATTAGAACAGGCCTTTCCACCCACCAAATGTGGTCTTTTCTTGGGACTTGCCCAGGTGAGTTTAAGACAGTGGCTACATCCTCGCTGTCCTGTTACAGAGGTCTGGGTGTTAGGGTTGGGGCACTCCTGGTCTGGTTAGCTAGATATAATCTTTCCATCCAGGCTCTGCTGGTTCACATCTGCAATCCTAGCTACTTGGGAGGCTGAGATAAGGAGAATCAAGGTTCAAGGCCAGACCAGGCAGAAAGTTCAAAACCTCCATTTCCAAAATAACCAGAGGAAAATTGACTGGAGGTGTGGTTCAAGCAATAGACTGCCTGCTTCGCAAATGTAAAATCCTGAGCTCAAAGCCCAATCACATAGATAGATAGATAGATAGATAGATAGATAGATAGATAGATAGAAAATCTTACCCCCTTTGGGCATGGGATTGCAGCTTGCACTTCTCTGATAAGTTGGAACCATTCCCCCGTTCGCTGTGATTCTACTTTCAGAAGGAAGACAAGGTTGACGTGCATTTATTTGGCCTTACTTAACTGGAAATGGATTACCCTTAAAATCAGGCAGCAAATGAGTTTGGCTTTTTCTTTTTTTAATAAGCTTGACTTTGAAGGGAGGTACATAGATGGAGTTGAGGCCAAAAGACAGGGTAAGAGACAGAAGTGTTTTTGAGCATAGGTAGAAGGAAGGTTGAAGAAGGCAGACAGCATAGCAGAGTATTAAAGAAGAGTGGCTCTTTCTCAGAGAAAGGTGGCTGGAGAGGACGGCTAGTGGGGGAGGGGGTTCACACTAAAAAAAAGATACAGGTAGGCAGGGTCTTCTCGTGCATGGCAAGTTGTGGAGGCCTTCCTTTGAGGCATGTTCCACAATTTCTTTGTACTTTCTTTCCTGAGAATATGTTTTTAAAAAGTGGAGTGAGAAGAGACTTATTTGTGCCTGGGAAATGGCCTGTGATTTCCTGGGAGCAGCAAACGGTGACAACCTGAAGAACTAGAGCCCAGTCTAGCCAGCACTGGGGAGTCTGAGCTTGCACCCTACCAACAGTCTTGCTTTTGTCTCTCCAGGCCTGGTCCAGATCCCTGTGAGCATGTACCAGACAGTGGTAACCAGCCTTGCCCAGGGCAACGGCCCGGTGCAGGTGGCCATGGCCCCAGTGACCACCAGGATATCGGACAGCGCAGTCACCATGGACGGCCAGGCTGTGGAGGTGGTGACATTGGAACAGTGACATGCAGCCGTATCATGGCATCGTTTTCTAGTCTACTTCAAAATTTTTTACATGTTTGCAGAGGTGCAATCAAATGGAATTAAGTCTCTCGACTTTGGAAGAAAAGTTTTGTTAACCTTTTTTTTTTAAAAAGGAAGAAAGGCAGCAGATTTTGGAAATGCATTTTTTTAAAAGCACCACTCTTGATTTTCTGGGATTGGTGGAGTAAGAAACTGCACTGTCAATTTCACTGTCCCAAAAAGGCCAAATTGTGGCAGGACTTCTTTCTGCGGAAACGTGTGTACTTAATGTGTGTGTGTGAGTGTGAATATATGTATATGTGTACATATGGACACACACATTTACATATATATAGATAAAGTATATATATACATATATATATGTATGAAACCCGCATGGAGTTATCTGTATGAAATCAAGGTGAGCTGTGGAAACAACAATCCACCCAGTTTAGTGGGTGGTAGGGTACGTGGCCAGACACAGTCACCGGGTTTTTGTTCATACCAGGGTCATGCATTGAGCTACTGACAAACTCAGGCAGAGGTGACCATGCCCTTCACCAAAGCTGCCTCCCAGTGGCCGCCCAGAACTCTCTGCTGGACTCACCTGAGGAAGGAGTTTCCAGGATGCAGTGGGGTCCAGAAAGCGCTTGCAAGCTCCAGGGGTCACATGGTCTGCCAGCTGAGACACTCCTCCTCCGGCTGGCCCAGGTGCTGACCTTGCCATAGGCAGGTGAATGTCCTGAAGGGGTTCCCAGGCAGGAACAAGAAGTTTTCCTCAGCCTCCCATCTCCTCCCCTTCCCAGGAATCCTTCTAGATTTCGTGACTATTAAAGAGTTGCTCTGGCTTTAAGGTCAACCCTGAATTTGTCATGTATATAAACTGAAGGTAACAGAAGTGTTAAGGGTCTGAGGGGTGTGTGCTAAGTGTGCTTGTGGGTGTGTATGGGGGTGGGGAGAATGGGAAGAGGTGGGAAGAGCAGGAAGGGAAAGGAGGGAGAGAGAAAAATCTTCATAGACCAGGGTACACCAGTGGGCGCCATTTTCTCTAGCTGTCTGTAGCTGTCTTAACAGAGAAGACTGTGACATGTGGGACCCCAGGCTCAGGAAGGCTGGCCATCACAACAACGTGTGTCAGAAGAGAAGACTGTATTCCTGGATTCCGCCTGCTTTAGGAGGATTCGGCCAGGCCGTGCTCCCAGGTGCTTCCTGTGGCCCAGGCCCCAGACAGCTTCTGTGCACACAGTGGATTATTCTGGACGTTCTTTGGAACTGCTAAATCCTGGGCTTTTCCAGCTGCAAACCCTGAGCCTCCAGTGGCTAAATTCACCTGACTTTTTGACAGGCCAAATCTCCGCTCCTTGAGTACAGGGACAACTCTTGCTCCCTCCTCCTAGGTCCCCCATGTGTGTGACAGTGTATTTAATGTGGTTTTTGTTATTGTTGTTGTTGTTTTTTTAATGAAACATTAAAAGATTCTTCATGTCTTGCTCAGCCTTTGAGAAAAGTTTCAGATTCTTGTATTTGCTTGTTTTATATAAAACTACCCTGTGTTCTTTGTATGTTCTTTTCTGTACATAATGGGGGGAGGGAAGGGATATTTACATATAAACAGTCCTAGTTCTACAATTTATTATTTTTTTAATTATTATTTTTTATCATCATTGTGAAGTTGTCCAGGGGCTTTAAAGTCCATATTCCTTTTTGGTGAAATACCCTCCCAATAGTTTGAGAAGTTGCCAAGAAAAAAAAAACAAAAACAAAACCTCAGTAGCAGAGCATGGATTCTGTGTTGTTTTCCATTCTGTCTGTGCTGCCTCATTCAATAAATAGTTTAAAATGTGGCAACAGGAAGTGAACTGTTCATCTCTGAGGAGCCCTTAGCCTCTGGGCAAGGACTCTCTTTTGGGGTGGCTTCTTATGCTTTTGGAAAGAGACATACACTCAGGGTCAGTGGTCTTGACCTTACCCAGTGGCTGTGTAGAGCTCTGGAAAGAGGCGGGAGGCTGCAGAGGACAGGTCAGGGCCTCCTAAAAGCTCCGTTACCAGGCCAACTCTTTCATTTTTAGTCTGTTTCTTATATAATGATATTCTGGGAGAAAAATGTAGATCAAAAAAACCTAAAGATGGTTTGAAAGACTGTTCTTTTTTCAGGGGTTAATTTATACCTACCTTAAAAACTCAGGTGGGCAATAATGCCTCTCTGTCATGGAGGGTCTCCCACCATGAGTGCTGTTTAATGTTGGAGTATCCGTGAAGTAGAAGCTCTAAGCCATGAGTTGCTTCCTCACATCCTCACTCTTTGGTTTCTTACACAGCTCACTGTCTTAAGGTGGCAACTGCTGCCTTCCCAGCTGTGTCTCACACCCCCACCTCAGGCCCTTCCCACATCCCCCAGTCTCTACACCTCCATTCTGTGTCCTCCATCCCCCACTGCCACCACTACCCATTCTTTCTGTTGTTGGATGTCTTGGTTGATTTCCTGGTGATAAAATAATTGAATGGGGAGGCCAAGAAGTTTCTTTGATGCCTGACAGTTCAGTAAAGCCAACCTCTCTCCCTTCTTGCACAAATGGCATACCATCACCTATTTTCACCAGCGAGGGTGAACCAGAGGAAGAAGTGGGAAGAGAGGTTATCTAGAGACCGTTCTGGTAAGGTGAGGGTTGCACCATAGCCCCTGCTGTTTGTCTGGCGAGGTCCAGACACTGCCTTCACCACAAGCACCTGTTATCACAGTGGTGACAACAGGCACCAATGATTCAGCTGCCCTCAGGTAAGTCCAGCCAATGGGTGAAGCAGAAGGATACAGTGGGGGGCAGGGGGAGTGAGGAGATGGGCAGAGTGCAGAGCATCTTTTTAAAGAGCAGCTTGTAGATGTCACCTCACAGAAGGGGCCCTGCTGCCCCATCTTCAAATTTTTCCAGAGAATCTGGGGAATTCAGATTTTTACATGAGGACTGGAAGTGTGGCTCAAGTGCTAGAGTGCCTGCTTTGCAAGCTCCTACTTGGCAAGTGCAAAGTCCTGAGTTCAGACCCCAGTCTCACCAAAACAAATCCTAAAACAGATTTTTATATGAAATCTCCTGATTTCATTAGTAAATAAAACCCATCTGTAGATCAGATCTGGCCTGAGGGTCCATTTTGTTTAATGACATGAATATTTTGTGTGTGCCAGGCACAGTGGGGACTTGTCTGAGAGAGACAAGATGAAGGAGACTTTGGAATGGACAGTAGCCGCAGCTCAAGGTGGCGAGGAGCCATCCCAACTGAGTGCTATTGCAGAGTTCTGTTAGCTCATTGTTCTCTTTAAGGGTCCTCCATGTTTAGTTTAGCATCTGGCTGCCAACCAGGATCTGGTGATCACAGAAACCACGGGGCTGGTCTAAGAGTTTTTGGCTGTAAGTCCAATATCTGAAAACACCCATTAGTGATGTTAATGACTAATGGAATGGTCCAAACTCCAGTGACTGATCTGTGGAGAACCAGGGCAGGGGGAGGAGGGGCCCCTCAACCAGGAAGAATATCCTAGACTGCAATGCACTCTGGGCCTCACTCAGGCCCTAGCAGGGCTCCCTGTCCCCCATGAGCCTCAACTGCAGGCATGGCTATGTCCCTTTGGTGTCAGCACCAAAACTCATCAGGAAAGAAACCAACTTAATTATCTAGCAGAGCACACAGTCCCCCATCCACCTCCATCGCAGCTGGCTGTGGGTCGGCCAAGTCACCAGCCCAGGCCTCAGCATAGCTGGTGCTCAGGTTGAGGTCACTGTCAGTGTGTCCCTACCTTGCCTCCTGGTTACTGCAGAACAGCAGCTCTTGGAAAGGCCCACTGCCATGGTAGAGACAGGATGGAGGGGGTGCCAGAATTACTTATAAACAATATTAACTGATTTAGTCTTTACAAAGTACTATTATTTCAAGAAATAAATAAGGTACAAAGAGGTTCAATTAAATAACCTGACCAAGTTCACTCTGCTAGGAAGAGGCAAAGCCAAGACACAAACTTGGGCAGGCCAACTTCTGTTAGCTCACCACTTGTACCTGGAAACACCACTTCATAAGCTTTTCTTAGGGCTGAAGTGAATAAAAGTGGAGGGTATAAGAGGACTCAGTAACATATTTTTGAGTTATACTTTTAATGTAGCTTAACATTTGAAACTGCCCCCTTCCCAAATTTCCTGTATTCACAAATGAAATTGTTAGTGAGGCTGGGAGTGCAGCTCAGTGGAAGAACACTTGCCTAGCATTTGCAAGGCCCTGGTTTCCATCCCCTGCACTGGATGGGAGGAGGGGATTGGCTCTTGAATTTCTTCTGACTTTTGCTGGCTTTAAGAAACTTGTAGTTATAAGTGATGGAGTGGCTCAGTGGTAGAATGTCTGCCTTACAAGCATGACACCCTGAGTTCAAACCCCAGTACCAAAAAAAAAAAAAATCCTATTCAAGGAATTAATAGTTGGGCACCAGTGGCTCATGCCTGTAAACCTAGCTACTCAGGAGCTAGAGATCAGGAGGATCATAGTTCAAAGTCAGCCTGGGCAAATAGTTGGCAAGACGCTATCTTGAAAATCCCCTTCACAAAAGAAGGGCTGGTAGAGTGGCTTAAGGTGAAGGCCCTGAGTTCAAACCCCAGTACGGCACATACACAAAAATACAATGTTCGAACTGTTAAATAATTCCATGTAAAAATGTTGCTTTTTATTCCTAAGAAAAACTTGACAGTGCTATCCTGCAAGGGGTGAGGGGTACTGCTCCATGTTGATATCTAATAGTTACATTTTGTTGTCTTCTTTTAAAGTCCCAGTGCTCAGCAGGTGGGAGGTTAAGGCAAGAGTATCTCCAGTTGGAGACCAGCCTAGATCTCACTTAAACCCCAGGCCAGCACAGAAGAGAAATTAACTGGTTAACTCAAGAACCACTGGGCAAGGAGGCCACGCCAAATCTGGACAGAGTCACAGAACTGTGAAGTCATTAGATGGGTGACAGGTGACAGGTCTCAGCCCATCTTACTGCTCCCCGTGCCCTTTGGGATAGATGACAACTGGAAAGCTGGGAAGGACAGGATCAGCCAGCACCCCACACACATACCCCCATTTCGGCTGTGCAGGTTGAAGCCTAGCTAGAGTCACGGAGAGGCCCAGGGTCCCAGGGCACCAGCAGGGTGCACAGGGTGCCCTCTCTCCTACCGAGCTCCTCCTGCTCTGGCTTTTCCACCCAGTCTCACAAAACCTGAAATTTTGAATTATTTTTTAGTTTTTGGTAAAGAAGTATTTTTTAATTCCCGGGAGAAAAGTTAAGAGAAACTATCACATAATAATATTATTTACCGTGGGCCCCGTCTATAACAGAAGGACAATCCACGGTCAAGGTCAGTGCAGTGACTCAGGTTAGCACCTTTGCTGCATGTGAGTCCCTGGCCTCAGTTTCTCCTTGTCCACGCAGTTCCAACACCTCCCGCAGGAGTCCTGGGAAGGACTGAACACTGCAGGTGGCCATCCCTGCCAGTGGGACTGTCCACTTTGCAGAGGTTTGGCGGCCAAAGAGCACAGCCCGGCTCCCAGGGCCGCTGTCTTGGGAGGCCGAAGCCGATTGGCTGGCTGAGGTCACGTGTCGGCCGGCGGCCCAATCAGCAGCGGCCGGGACTGCTCTCGGAGAAGAGGTTGGGATGTGACTGGCAGCCCTGAGCCAGGGAGTAGGAGAGCTGGGGCCGCGAGGGCTCCCGCGATGGCCCACATAGACCTCCCTAGGTCTGTGAAGGCCTGCATGGACGAATCATTAGAGAAACCGTATGGCACTTAACCCCCATCCACACCCGCCATCCCCAACAACCGCAAAGATTTTTCTAACTTTTATTTATCTAATTTTCATACCGTTTAGTTCATTCGTTTTTAAAGTGTACCCTTCAGTGCGCTTTGGTATTTTTACAAAGTTGTACAACCATCATCATAGCCTAATTTTAGAATATGTTTATTATCTCCAAAAGAGGTAATTGCTTTTTAACATTTTTTTCCCAAAATAACTTGAAGCAGGTTACATACAAGATGTATACTATGAAGTTTAAACAGAAAAACAACAACTAGGGGGCTGGAGCCATGGCTCAAGGGGTAGAACGCCTGCCTAGCAAGTGTGAGGCACTGAGTTCAAACACCGGTGCTGCCAAAAAAACAAAAAAAAGAAAGAAAAGAAAAGAACCACCAACAACAAAAAAACAAGAATGAGAAGTAAAAGACCAAAGGAAGTCACACATTTGCCAACCTGGTCAACATTGGTGAAATGATGACTGTTTCTGTTTAGTGGCTGTCTTAAGAGGCTAAGAGCTCCTGTCCCTGGGAAGATAGCAAGGCATCAGCCAGTGAAAGATACAACACACTAAATACTTTTCTTTAAAACAGAAAAGGGTGGGGGAGTAACCCCCAGGTTATTTTATATATTCAGCATCTTCCACATTTTGCCCTCAAAGAAATAGTTTTTGTTATTTTCTTAGGCTTTG